AATAATAGGTATAGAAATGTGAAAGATCAATCGTTGTATTGTCTGTCATTTATGTAAGCTATTCATTTAAAGACTGATCCTGATATTGTTATGTACTAATTTATGCTATTATAATAAGTAGAATGCCAAGTTAAGACTCAAACTTATTAAGAGGCACCAAAAAGCATGTTTTGATTTGTTTTTCTTCATTAAAGTGTTTTGAAAGGGATTTTCATTATGTGTTATCTGGAAGAATGTTTTGAAACAGAAACTATGCCATTTTCTGTAGTATTCAAATCATGTATAAAACAAGCCCTGAAGCAGAGACTCAATCTGAAATGGTATATTGCTCCAATGAAATATTTAATGAGAATGATTAAGTTCATGGAAGTCTGGGAATTTGCAATTGGATGGGAATTAAATTTTGATAACTTCTGAAGAATCAAATAAAAGGTAATGCTTATTATAGTAGAGCTTAATGACTTATATGTGCTGTCACTGATGAATAGGCTATATAAAAAAGCTGCCATAATTAATAATTCCAATGTATTGTGGAAACCGTCTCATATCCATATTTATAAACCTGTGCTGTCTACATAGATCAAAGAGTGTTCTTTTAGCAACACTTTTTTTTCAGTATGCAGCCAAGCATGTTCTCTGTATGTTACATTTTCAAGGTTCAGTTTTTTTGAAAGGCAAAATGGGAAAATATGCTACAAATAATATAGTTTGAGCCAGTTTTAGTGCAAATATTTGAATGGTAAAGATGAAATTGTACAGGATATGAACTATAGGAACCAATCTGGAAATATTTAAGGGCTCCCACAATTTATTTATTTATTTATTTATTTATTTATTGTTTCCTGGTAATCTTAGGGTACTTAGAAATCTAGAAAGTGTCAGATGTAAATTTTTCACTTCATATGATATATCATTTTAGCCTTATACGTGTAGGTACATGATGTCTCATAGAGATTGAAATCCCTGTTGTATGCTAAAGATGCATTACTAATCTGGTCATGCCTCTTTAGTATATATCATCACAGCAGGTGGTATGAATGTGATGTTTTACATTGCTGGTTTTAGCAGGTGACTTAGTTGTTGTGGGCAGGACAACAGATAGATTAGATTGGCTCCTTGTAATTAAAAATCATAATCATACAGTCTGCTGAGATGGCACCTAGCAAGTTAAGCGATGAAAAATTAGACATGAAGTGAACCTTGAATGTATTGAAATCCGTTATGATTGCACCAAACTGTATTGATCTTCTGACCACATGGTAGGTTCGCACTTGATTTGAATCCCAATAAATTATATTATATCAAATTTTCTGTTCATCAGCTCGTATCAGATGGTCACAAGCAAGTTAATACCACTTAGCTAATGTAACAGGACTTGACAATAAATGTTTCACGTTGAATATGTGTAAGCTACTATATTGGAAGTAATGCCATTAATAATTACATCATGTCTTCTGTGACTTAATTGTACAACTGGATGAGGGCTGATAGGAGAGTGCATCAAATATTATTTATCCTGAAGAAGTATTGAAATATTTGTCAGATAAGTTCACTTTTTTAACAAAATTTATGTGATTTATAAATGTAATTGTCTTTAGATGACTGGGCTTTTTTTTTTTTTTTTAATGCAGGAGGATTTTTTGTTTATTCTTATTTATTTATGACATTTGATTGTCATCATAATTTTGGCTAAAAGTACCATTAATCTTTTAGGCGAGTGTGATCTATTAACTGAATCCCCCCCCCCTCCCACACACACACACATATGTGAGCACGTATGCAAGTGCGAACACACGCACATTTGTTTCTGTTTGAATTGAACATATTGGTTTCAGTCCAGAAGATCATTAAGAGGTATATTTATCAGAGTGATAGAAAACAACATCGGATTAAACCAATGATCTATGCTGGCTTCTGTCCACTGTACCATGACAGGGTGGACTCTGCAAATAAATCAATATAAATTGACCTAAATATTAATGGAAATCCAATAGAGGTTACGCCCTGGGACATTTTCTTGGCTCCAGCCAGCTGTTGACAAATATCAAAATCAAATACTTTTGTTCTTGAGTTGTGACCCCTCTGCCTTGGGTTAAGATCATGAATTAGGGTTTGAACTGTTGTCATTGATTGATTTTTACCTATTGTGAAGCATGTTGATCAAGGCCTGTATTATTGAATTTTGCCCCTTCACAGATTACATATTGTTTGGACCAATACAAAAGAATGCTGGTGATGCAATTGTCATCACTGATAAACTACCCCAGCAGAGGATTTGTATTATGTGTTTGTATGTTTGGCTTTCAGTAGCAGCCACGCTGTCTCAGTATAGCTTTTAAAAGAGTCAACGTCTCATTAAAAGAATTCCCAATAATTTGTTGCAAAGTTGATGCCAGTTCAAAATTGTAATGACAATATTGATACAGTAGTTGGCAGAAAGTTAATTTTGTCTAAGCCTTATTTTTGTGGGAATGCAGATGTTTTATGATTACTTTTTTAGAAAAGTCACCATATTATAATTTGATAATAACCCTGCCAGATGCCTAGATTGTACCTTTGGTAAATTGATTTTGGGGGCAAAAATCCAAAGTGACCATCAGTGGTTTTTTGTAAAATCAAATAACAGCCATATCAAAGCTTTTACTAGATATAGATTTTTATAGTTTTAGTTTCTAGATCAGAATTGTTGTAAAGTAATATAATGAGATCTGCAGTAGTGTTGGACTGTGGAGTCTTAAAATTCTTATCCGATTTGATTATTTTGATTATTGATAGCACATTATCTAAAAGACTAGAACAGAACAGGTCAGAATATTTCATCTTTTAAAAGCACTTGAATGGCTTTTTAAGGTTATTTAATTGAAATGCCCCCCCCCCCCCCCCCCCCCGGCCGTAAACAACGGAGTCTAAATGAAGAGTATTTAATAAGTCATGACTAATGGTGTTATGGGATGATGATGTGAACTAAAATGCCTATTGTGTATTTATGTGGTGAGAAACATGCTAAAGAGCTGAAAAAAGCTTATAAAAGTTTTTGAAGCCTTATAATGCTGTTTGCACATTAGATTACATTGAAGATAATCTGTTTAATGAAGGATTATAAAAGTATATTTTGGAGCATGTTTCATTAGGGAGCTTTCCAGTATGTCTTATGTATATTTCATTCCCTGTGTATTTCAGCATGGCTGCAGGAAATAGAGGAAATCACTGATAATTGTGTCTGTGTTGATAGAATTGACTTGTATTTTTGATGTAGTCAAAATTAATGGATGGTTCATTTTATGAACTGCAATTGTAAATAGTAGCTAGCTTTATTTTTTATAAAATCAATGTCGTGGGCTTTCAGAGATATTTGACACTTTTTATTCTTTCAACTTTGCAGTACCTGTTTTTAGAGGAATCCAGATTTCCAGATTTGATCTTTTTTACTTTTTCTACAACATGTAATACCTCATTATTGTTCTAAAAGCCTCTCCCCCTCTCAGGAGGATATACTGGAAACTGGTTTCCCTTGCAACAATCTCTGCCTATTAACTTATTTAACATAATTTTTGAACCTAGAATTATACATAATCCCATATCTTGTTTTGCCTGTGTCACAAAATTTTTCTCAGTAAAATTCTGATCTTTTTTTTTTTTTTTTTTTTTACTAATTTACATGGTAATTACTTTAAACACCTTGATACCATGGATTTAGAAAAGGTACCCCCCCCCCAAGAAAAAAAATTAAGTAAAAAAAAAAAAAAAAGAGATTTACGTACATTTGTTCTTTTTTGTAAGTTTTTTTTAATTCACCATGTGTTTAATGTCTTTTTGTTCTAAAAAAACAAAAATGTTAACTTAATGTGTACTTTTTTGGCTCATAGCACATGTATTGTTAAGTCAGTAACTTCAATCTGCTACCCTATAGAAAATATCATTGACCAGGTTTTTTTGCAGATTTCCTGGAGTGCGTCATTTATTTTCTTACTCGATATCAAATGAATACTTTATGGGAATTGAAACATCTTTGTAGGATACTAAAATTCAAAGAAAATAGATCTGGGTTTCCACAAGTAATCCACAAGTAAATAATAGATTTACTAGGACAATAGATTTTTTCTGTCATTACTATTGCCCTCCTGGAGGTAGGAAAGTTCTATTTGCACATGCAATGCAGACAAGCTTTAAATTACTGAAAATTGATTTTGTCTCTTGCCAGAATTATTACCTTAAACATGACTATGCCTGGTTGAATATGTATACCTATTTTTTATTTGATATATTATATATGTTTTACTGTGTATCGATATTACCCCATTTCACTTTCATTGTCTATATTTACAGTACTGTAAACCATTGTTGGTCTATAAGTTGTGTTAATGAGGTTTTGTTTGCTATGTGAGCTGTTGGTTCATTGCCATTTCATGTAATGGGTACACAGAAATTATTCATGAGGTTACAATGATATTATGTCACTTAACGTACCTGCCAATAATTCAATTTTTGTCTATCTTCAGCGTCCGGTGGGGATGGAGAATGGTGACATGGATGATGACCACCGAGGGTGGTACCCGCAGTCTAATGGAGGGTAAGTTACGCCAGACACCTAATCACACCAGGTTCAACTTAAACATTGATCTGGCCCATACAGCCTCATTTTTTAAATTTCTTTTACATGGTGTTCAATAAAAAAAAGTAAGAATGGGTTACTGTACGGGGGTCGTACGTAGTGTCAACTTCTATTGATTCATGTATAGACCTGTTTGTCTCTAGCATGTCAGATCAATTCAGGGCGATTGACCTTGTTGGTTTCTTGTCCAAGTGTAGTTCTGGCATCATAGTGATATAATGATAAGAGAAGAACCCAATGGACATCATCTGAGATAGCCCAAAGTCTTGTGAATTAGCGTGAAATTTGGTGAGATTGAACAGGATTTGGAAGGGAGTAGGGACAGAAATAACAGCAGACTAACTTATACGATGTTGCAACAAATAAAAGCTGAGTCAACAGAATATATCAGCTGATATTTTTTAGGTGTTTTTCTCTTAGGTTCTGTTAAATTGCAATCTGTTTTGTGTGTCACTTTTGTAATGCTTTTTAAGGTGACATTACCAGAGCATACATTTTCACTCTTATCACTTCAAAGTAAGCCCCACTTCAGACAGATTCTCACACCTGTGCTAGTCTTGTGTGCAATGTCACACAGTGCAGTCAGCCACTTTTTAAGCTCATCTCAGATGATGCCCTTTGATTTTTATTATATCATGTTGAGTATACAGATAATGGCTCAGTTTTGCAGTTCTAACCTATTGCAATCAATGCTGGATACAAAGGCTACAGAACGTATAGCAATCTGTTACAGAGGATCTACAGAGAACAGTACTGTAACAAGAATGCATTCAGACCTTCATATATGTAAACATGGTCTTAATGACTCTGTATTATTCATTATCCTTTATTTCGGATAATCCAAGTTTGAAAAGTCAGTGTCTGCTTGCATAACCAGAAACTGCAAACCTTTTGCTTCTGTGAATGATTTTCAGTAGAATTTCAAGGTGAAGGCTAGCTTTGGGTTTATAAAACTGTAACCATTTTTACAAAAATGTAAATTGTTGTTTTAAGTGGAATCGTTTGAATTATATATGTAAGAAATTAATAGAATAATGAACTCAAATTCTAACATTCAAGTAGTTGCAGAAACAGTAACCATAATGTAACTTAAGAATTTGAAGTGGCCACTTTTAATAGATTAGATTATGCTGATGGATAGACTTTCAGAAGGATGAGTTATTGTACTGAATATATTTCAAGGGGATGGAAAAAATTTTGTTATTCAAGGTTAAAAGGCAAAATTAAGAAAATGGCCTTTTATAAAAGTGCTATCAACTGCTAGAGATCAATAATCTAGCTGAGGAGAAATAATTTTGCGAGTTGTTTTTAACAATGCACTTTAAGCCCTGTACATATATAGCTGCAAGTGGGGCTGCCCCAGTCATCTGCTGATCACAATGGGAACAGTCTAACATTGAATTTGTATTGATTCTAGAGGAAATGGCATGCAAGTGGTGGAAAACAATGACAATTTCCATGCAAACAGATGCTGGTTGATCACCTCCAAACTGTTACCCACTTATCAGAGCAGATGCACGCTATGTGGCCGTTAACACATTGTTGTCCTGATCCACGGTGAAATAGTTAGCGCCATCATAGAGCCGCTTTAATCTTGGTTGCCTTGGCAACACATTTGCATTATCAATTTATTTTATCGGTGATCAAAAGGAAGTGATGTTCTGTCATATCATATCATATAATACCTGCTTTTGAGCAATTTGTTCTGCATTGCAGCATTGATCCTGTATATGCAGTGAAACTTTCATTCGTCCTCATTCACGTCTCCCAGAGCCTTGCAAGTGTTAATGGTGATATCTTGCCAGGAGAATTAGAGAAATATTGGCTCCTGCTGGGACTGTCCTAATCCTTTCCCATTGAGAGCTGCATTATTATAGTCAGAGGTACACTCAGATGGAGTACTATTCTGGGCAATATTAAAGAAAAGCTTTTAATTCTGAATATTGCAGAAAGTGATGTGTTAGAATCATTGACGCAGTAAAACCATCCTCTACGCCAAACCTATAAATGTGGCATGATAATTGTTTCATCTTTGTAAAAGAAACCTTGCCATCGTTTCCAGTGGTTTACAGGTATTAGGTGTCTGTATTATTGAAAGGTTTGAGTATTGTTTTTAAGTGGCTTTTCTTGCCATTTAAGTGGTCCTTCAGTATGATATGCCATGGTGAAACCAAACTACATTGTCAGGGGTTAGGATTGTTGTTTCACAACAGATGTTTATGGCTGCAATATGGTGAAAATGTGAATTGTATCACCATTTTACAAAGTATTTGTTTTATTGAACACATTTTCTTAAATATTTACTTTAGCAGTATTGAAAAAGAAGGAAAAATACATAATTTAAATAATATCTCGGAGAATGAAGTCAATACACCATAAAAAAATGCTCCACCCATGGTGGCGGCCCGTGGGGAGCTGGTATATAAAATCAAGGATACGAATAAATTAGACTTTTCTCTCCATTTTATTAAAAAATGCCCTATGGCCGTTTTGGCCCTGAGGCCTCGTCAGGGGCAAAAACAAAACAAGTGTGTTTGTATCAAAAACTGTGAGCGAGGCAAGTGTTTGAAAACGTACAGTGAAGCTTTGCATATCCTGTTGGTTTACTCTTGTTCTTCGAGGCCTCAGGGCCAAAACGGCCGTAGGGCATTTTTTAATAAAATGGAGAGAAAAGTCTAATTTATTCGTATCGTTGATTTTTTATTATTTAAATTATATATATATATATATATATATATATATATATATATATATATATATATATATATATATATATATATACAGTTGTATCAAAAACTGTGAGCGCGGCAAGTGTTTGAAAACGTACAGTGAAGCTTTGCACATCCTGTTGGTTTACTCTTGTTCTTAATTGGTAAGACGGTATTTAAAAGAATAGTTTAAATAATAGTGTCATTATTTTTATGTTTACATTCAGACCACCCGAACACAATCCATTTTATACAAGTATTAACAGCATGCCGGACATAACGCCAAGGAAGAAGTCCATTCCACTCGTCAGTGAATTGGTAAGTATTTTGCAGGAAGGTTAACTTCTCTAACAGATGGGTTTACATCTTAACAGGAAGGTTTACATCTGTAAAGTCTAAAAATACTTCAACAAATATTAAAACTTCAAACATTTTTTTAAACTGTGTAATGATTTATTAAACAGCAAAATAAGATCTCTTTAGAGCTTAACGGTACAAGTCAAAGAAAAGATTGATTTTCATTATCATAGTTGGATAAGGAGGGATGAAGCACATATTTAATTATGTGGGTTAGCCTGTAGGTATTTAACAGGGCCATGCCAATGGTGCTGCTGTTTGCAATGGTTATTGCATGCATTGTAAAGATAGGTTGTTCCATTGTATCAACGCTTTGGGCATTTTATGTGGATAACATACAGCCATCAATTAAAGATTTTTTTATAGAGGTGTGGTAAGAGAAACACAAAAGTGCTTAGGAAATATGGTCATTGATTTTTGTCTGTCCCTTTTTACAGCCTCTTAGAAAGCCAAACATGTTTTGCACTGTAAGTTACTTTTACTTCCATCTGCCAATAGCACCCCAGATTTGTGTATCTAGTCACCAATAGGAGGTCAAACAACCAACTGACGCACTGTCACTTTTGTTATTTCACAGCCAAGAAATCAATTTTTCATGTTGCCCATCATATAATATGTTCTTTGTCATTTCAATGATAATCTACCATAAGTGGAATTACAATGTAGCAATGATTTTATGATGGAGAAGCCAATTAACAGAAAAAGTCAGGAATCCAAGATTGCACATATGTCAAACAAGTTTTTAATTCATCATTTTTTATATAAATATAATGATTTTTTAGTCCTTTATTAAGTAAAGTTAAATAACTGGTATACTGAGAGTTATAACATTAAAGTTTAAAGGCTTGGTGAATGAATCCCTCTGTAATAAACTGCTTGTATGTTTTGCATTCAAACAGGTTATGCAGGTATTTTTAATGTTGAAAATGTTGACCATTTTGACCATTCTCACTCAAGTGGCTTGAACTACCTGTACATTCTTCTCTCTAACAGCAAAAGATGTGATTTTTTTATTTACTTCTGATCAATTCAATATTTTAGAAACACTCTTTTTTGACACTCAGAATCTATCTAGAACATTCTGTAACTTGCAATATTTTCCAGTTGTTTTTTATGACTGACATGGCAGTCAGCTAGGCTATTATTGCAGTTGTTCATCAGGATAGAATAGACTAACTCTTTTATGTACAGACACAGAGGTGTTTGGACATATGCCATACCCATTTTGTCCATCATGTGGAAAATACTAAGTGATGTCTTTTATTATCTCCTGATTGCCACTCCTTTCATTTTGAGACATCACATCCTAAATTAGCTGTAATGAGTGAAACTTAACACCTAACGTTTTTGCAGGTGAAAAGGCCTTTGCTGAAATCATCCAGTTATCTCATCCAAACATAAAAATAAAGTATTATCCAAACAATGTACTGTCACCCCTCAAATCCAAGGCCAGTGGTTATTTTGAAACACCAGAACACGATGACTTGAGTGTACTACAGTCAGTGCAGTAGCACCACCAACATTAACTTTTCACCTAGTAGTTGTAACTAAAACTATTTGGATGTTTTTTTGTCTGCTTATCTTGTCTGTTCATATGGCAGTTTTGCTGCCTCTTTTTTTTCCATGTTCTTTTTTTTCCTGAGTTTTCTTTGCATTGAATCTCCATTCATACCACGGCAACAACCGAGCCATAGTAACCTCAGCTGGATCGTGCACTGAGGCCTGATGGGCTGTTATATTTCCCTCAGGAATTCAATTCTCAGTGCAATCAAGGATCCAGAATTTTTTTTCCTAGGAACGTGTACACACAAGTTAATCTGTCCCAATGTCAGTTCAATTCGAATTAATTTACATTGCAGACTGCATTATGTTGTACAAAAACCCAAATGGTAATGTCACTGAACAGGACCAATAAATTTTTCATTGATAATCTGGCAGGGTTTTTTTTTTTTAATTGTGATAATTTTTATTCAGAAGGCACGTGTATAAAGGTGTTGATTGCCTTGGGACACGCATTGGCGCTTGTGTGCAGGTTATTGGTGGAAAGCTGCGTGGTATGAATGGGGCATACATGTATCATTAAATGATTCCTCACACTTTGAAGTAAACTGCACAAAGATCACCATATTTTAAGTCTATTATTTTTTGTCATGAATTTTATCATTTTAGTTGATGTGAATCAGAGTGTTTAGGATTGATGCCATATTTTGAGATTTGTTATTTATTGTGCCACATGTACAAATAACATGGTTTGCATAGATTTTTTTGATGTTAGAATCAAGATAGCTAACACAAAATACTAGTAACTTGTAGTGAAAGGTATTTCCAACCCTTGTACTGTTTTAAGTAGTTTGGCTTAGAGTGTACTTTTACCTTATGTACATAAAAGCTAAATATATGACAGACGAATATTGTAAAATATATAGTTAGATATTTTCAGTAGCATAAGTAGTGCGCAGCATGTTAGAATGTTTGTAAATTTAGTAAAAATGTTCAATACGATTTTAAAAGAGTTGAGATTGTGAGTTTTCACTGTACATTTTTTATATCTACTTATGCCGACACCAGGTCATGCAGGTACCAGAACTAGAGTGTTCCCATATTTTACTTCAGTGTTTCTTAGTTTTCATTCTGAATTCTGTGGTTATGTTACTTAATATCCTTTCATAAAGTTCTCAGAGTCAGATGGGTTTGAACATCTCTCTTTCTCTTTTCTACATTTTTGATACTCTTTAAAGAACAATTTGTATGTGTTTTTTTTTCTTGTTATTATTTTTTGACGTTTGATTAAAGATAAAACTTAAGAAAACCAACTACCAGAAATTTTGCCTCTTGTTAGATCTAAAAGTACATGGTGTTGCATGGTAGACTACTTATTTCTTTTGATTCAACTCCATTTCCGTAACATTTTTAGCATTAACATGAAGATATGACATGACAAAGGCTGACGACAGCACTCACCTTCGAGAAATTGTTACATGGTTTTTTTCCTAATCAATCCTTTCTACTGTGATGTACTTAATCTGTCTATGGATATGATTCTTATTCAACCCCTTTGCATGCAATTTTTCAATCAATTTTGATTCACTTAGATGTTGTGCCTTTTTGAATCTTGGTTTGCTAATTGGATTATGGCATCAGGTCTTAACTGCTAGACTATCTCAAGTTAGATCATTATAAATGATGTAATGAATTACGAAGTTCAGTGTTTTTTTCCTCCCACAGGTTTACACTTGTTACATCCACTAGTACTGTAGGTGGATAAATTGACCAAGTGCCTGTTCACCAAATTGCTTTTCATTTTGTAGCAGGAATTTTGTAGCAAATAATTAATATCTCTCTAGTACTGATATGGAGTATCACATTCAGACGTTTTCTTAATAATATGACTGTAAAGAAAACAATGTAAAATAGCATGAGCTCTTGCTGTAAATGTAATAATTTACAATATTGTTTCTAGACCATGGCTGCAAATAAGCGGGTAGGAGGACCTTCAGCAATGGTGGCCAGGCAGTCACTAAATGACGAAGAGTTGGTAAGTTGGTCAGGTTCCAAATTGCTTTCCAGTGTATGCCTTTGATATGTTGCAGTATTGATCTAGTATGTGTGATATTGGGTGTTACAGCAATATCACTCTTAATAAGAACAATTTTGGTTTTTTATTAAAAATTTATTTGCAGTGATAGTCGATTAGATCGTTTAAGAGTAAATTGCATTCCACATTCAATTTTAAACTCTTTATATAATGTATTTACAGTAACAGCCCATGACATGAGATTATCAATAAATCACTTAATCAGGAACTGAAACTGATCAGATATTTTTTCATGTTAAATTTACCAAAGCTGCTTGAATACATCTATATATTATGGAATATTGTTATTCCAGAAAATGCATGTGTACAAGAAGACCCTCCAGGCCCTGATCTACCCCATCTCCAGCACCAGGCCTCACAACTTTGTGGTGTGGTCCGCCACCTCCCCGACCTATTGCTTTGAGTGTGAGGGTCTGCTGTGGGGGCTGGCCAGGCAGGGGGTGCGGTGCACGGAATGCGGGGTCAAATGCCATGAGAAGTGCAAGGACCTGTTGAATGCAGACTGCCTGCAAAGTAAGCTGTGGGGATCTGTTATTGTCTGTTTATGATGGTGAGGGAATCATAAAGATATGTTTGGATTATCAGATGATTTATAATGAATGCTTTTAGATTTCTTTGTAACAGGGACTGGTGCGTAGGTGCATTGATTTGGTGGTCAGGTATTTAGCTCTGATAATATTATGCAGTTTTGGGTATACCTTTAATTGTCTCTCTTTGAAATTTTTGTAATTTTTCATTGGAAATAAAACAACATTTGTATTCTTTAAAAGAGAAATAGGTATTTAAGTATGGCCATGTCATTTATGATGCCATAAATTTTAATTTCTAATTTATAGGGGCAGCTGAGAAAAGCTCAAAACATGGTGCTGAAGACAAGACTCAAAATATTATCATGGCAATGAAGGACAGAATGAAGCAGAGGGAGAAGAATAAGCCAGATATATTTGAGTTGATTAGGTAGGAGAAAATTTTTTGGTCAACAGTGGATGTGTGCATGCCAAAGAATTTGCTGAAATATAAAGTTCATCTGATGCTTAAATATTTGATTGATGAGGATTATTTGCTGTTTTGCTTAATAAATGATAACATGTATTGTGTTCCTGCACCACACTGTCAATGGAATTTATTTGACACTTTTGCTTTATAATGAAAAGAATTTTGAAGCAGTAAATTTTTCTGTTGTTAATAACTCTTGCTTTCCATTATGTTTATAAGTAAGTTGCACTGTGTATGTTATGAAAGCAGTGAAAATTGTGAGCTTTGCTTACATGACAGCATATTTACTGTACTTTAAAACAGCTGAAATTTTTAATATGTAAATATTGACAAAGTTTTTGAGGAGAAGATTGAATGATTTGGGTATATTTCAGGTATATTTCTTTAATCTCGATTGTGTGGAGAGTCCTTTGAAAAATGCTGCCTATTTGCAAAGAAATAGTTTAAAAAAAGCATTATCGAGCGTCAGTTATTTTCAACTATCTGTGAGATTGTCATGTAAGCTTAGCCTTTATAATTTCACATCAAACATTTCACTTATAACTCAAGATTATTTCAGTGTTGGTTTTACAGATGTGTCACAGCAAATATTTTTTTTATAATTGATAAAGAGTTTACATGCTACGTTATCTTCATAATTTCGAAAGTTTATATGGTTCAGCTTCAGTTTGATAGAGTTACATTAAATGCTTTTACTGCTGGTTTTATATTAACAGCTGAAGAAAATGGGTGCTGAATTTCAAGCCATGCACAAGGCATAAAATGGGCAAAGACTTGGTTCAGAGAGAGGTTTCTTCGTGAGAAAATATTTATTGAAAATTGCATAAAAATTATTTCCCAGCATGAAAAATCCACTTTGCATGGAACCAAATTAGAATGCAACCTCTTCTCGAGAACATGGCCTTTGTTTGAAATCTGTAGTTAGCATTGCATTGTTTGAACTAACCTATTTCATCCTTTGCTACCCACCCGTCCCATGCAGACAAGTATTTGGAGTAGATAAAAAGTCCCATGGAGGGCACATGAAGTCGGTGAAGCAAAGTGTGCTTGATGGTACTTCCAAATGGTCAGCCAAAATTGCCATCAAAGGTATGTCAGGGTTGATAACCTTTCTTGTATGTGTGAACCAACTCATATGATTGGTTAGTTTTAGGTCTGGTTATGCTAGAACTGCAGTGATTGGTCGGGCAGTGTGCCCAAGTCATTGCAGATCACTCTCCAAGCTAGCAGCCACTGAGAGATCACAGAGGGGTGGTCCAAAATGCCACCAGCCGGAAAGGAAATTGGTGCAAGAGCCCACCAATAACTAGAGAACCACTCCGTCTTATGTACAATTGTTATAGTAGAAAAGTTTGCCTGCTTTTATAGGGTAGTATTTAGAGTGGAGTGCAATCTCCATGACGCCCAGATGGAAGCAGTGGAAAAGCGGCTCCTGGAAGATGGCACCAGCAAGTGGTCAGCTAAGATTGTTATCACAGGTACTCCTAGGCTGGAGGCAAGGGTTCATAGCACGGAGAAGGGAGACACACTTTTTACTAGCATGCTTTACCACCTCTCATTTTTACAGGTGCTGGCTATGCCAAGATAATTTCTGCATCACTGGTGAAAGGACTAATCATGTTTTATGCTGTTTGATTTCTTTTCTTTTATTGAATAACCCTGGGAATGTAGAACCCATATCTTGATTTGGAATAACGGCTGTCACATCTGCAGTGATTTTTTTTTTTTTTTTTTTTTTTTGCTATTTCAAACTGGGATAGCTTGATGAATGTTGCTTTAAACAGTGATGGAAGGCTTAATTGCTTTATGAAACGTAGAACCCTTTACTGACACTTGGTGTTCATGTGCAACCTGCCATTGTCTTGGCAGAGCAGTGATATTCAATTTGATATATTATCAAAAAAATTTGTAGAAATCCTTTGTAAAGATAACCCACATCATATGCTCATGTAATGAGAAGTAAAGATGCCAAGTCCATAATTTTGGTACAATTCTGTACAAATGGTACAGATGGTGCTTTTAGAATGGTCATTTATGGGTATTGGCTTGCCTGGTCATATTCAGGGTATGGTTGTGGAAGGTGATTGAATGTGTTGGAGGTTCTGGAATTTGATATTTTGGATTTAAGGTTTTGCAGCTATTTTAAATAATGCAATCAAGCTTTGTGACTTTTCCCCTTGCTTATACTATATTAATTTATTTCTATACAAAATGAATATAATTTATTGCAAGCCAAAGTAATTATTTTTTGAAAAATATCAGAAGGTAGAAGTTGTAGGGCTGTTGTTAATTTTTCAATATTTGTGTAGTGGTAATATTAAGTGCCAGTTGAAACAGGGTTGTGAATGAAATATATTCACCCCATAATTGATTGCTTTCAACTTTTACTTTGTGCAGATAAAGAAGAAAGGGTTTGGTTTGGTTTAGTTTAAAGCATACAAAAGAATAACACTCATGCTTTAGGAATAAAATATGTTCTTTTATTTATGACAATAAAAAAGTGCATTGTAAACAGTTAAGATTTTGGTATAGAGGAGCTCATTTTGAATTGTGATCAAAGCTTTATTGACTGTGGATTTTTTTTGAAAAAAAATCATTTCTTTATCTTTTCTGCTTAGTGATCTGTGCACAAGGGTTGACCCCCAAAGACAAGACGGGAACCAGTGACCCTTATGTCACTGTGCAAGTAGGCAAGACCAAGAAAAGGACCAAAACTGTCCCCCAAGATCTGAATCCAGTTTGGGGAGAGAAGTTTTATTTGTGAGTGGGCTTTCCATAAGATTACTTGACTTTAAATATGTATTTTTTATGTAAACAGGAACAAATATAATCTTATAGCAGTTTAATGCACATACATGTAGTTCATCACATCAAATATTTTGTTGATTGTGTGTACAAACTATTAAAAACATCTGTTTTAAAATGCATATTTTATTATCTTTAATTGTACATACAGCATATTAACACAGACAACAACAGTTACTATGTCAGATAGCACAGTGCACACCAGTATTCTTACGAGACTCCATCCCCATTTCTGCACGTTTGTGGAACTTAGATAAATTTTAACTTATTTTTCCCCATCTTTTCCAGTGAGTGCCATAATTCGTCTGACAGAATCAAAGTGCGAGTGTGGTGAGTCCACTATGCAGTTTCGTTATTTACATTATATTTCATACTTTTGCATTTAGCATGTCTCAGTGGGTTTTCTCTTTACGCCATTTGCCATTTAGACTGTGAGTCATAAAAAAAAAAACAAAAAAACGTGATGTTGTAAGTTCCCTTGTGTTGAGTCGGTGGAATACGTAAAGCTTAAAAGGCCAGAAAACCTTTCTGTAGGGCAAATCTCAAGTGTGTGGTAGAACTTTTGTTTTCATTATTTTCATGGGAATTGAAAGTGACTTCTCATTAGTTAATTAACGTATCACGCAAAGTCATGTCACAAGTGATAACCTCTACCATTAGGCTCAATTCCCAAGTAACAGCTTTTTAGGCCATTTAATGTGTGAATGTGGCTGAAAAAACAAGTTGGAGAGCAAAAAAAAAAAAGAAAAAAAAATGGATACAGGGATATATATAAGTTTCCTTGGTAGATGTAAAATGCAGATCTTGTCTTGACAACCCTTTCCTACTGTAATAATGATAATTTGATTTACTGCTTTGAAATGTTACTTTTTATATTCTCAGGAATATTGAATTATAAAAATTATTCCTCATTCAGTTTGAAATAAAAATTGTTTTAGTTCTAGCTCCCTGCTGAAGACTTTTAAATTCGGGATTACAGGAGAATTGCAATCAGACAAAAACTCCCAAAACTTGGAACAAATATTTATGATTCCTGAATGCTGCTATGTTTGTTTTGACCAGCCAGGTTTTAGAAATCTTTACCAGATTACAAAATAGAGCTAGATAACTGATTACAGACAAAATGATGATCATTTTCCATCTGTTTTTTTTTCTTTCTGATAAACGTGCAAAGTGTCAGCTTTCTTTTGTTGAATGTGGTGATTGAGGCTTAAAATATTTTATTTTACATATAAGTGTCTTTTTTATCTCTTTGGTCTTTATGGGATTGTATTTTTCTCATCTTAATGGTGGTTGTTCTGGAATGGCTTAGCTCAACCCCTTTTTTAAATGGAGTGCTTTTTATAACAATGTCATCATACCTTACATTGCATCATGCAGGTAGGTGTTTTTCTAATTTTTACAAAAAGTATTCCAAGACAATTCTTGAAAAATACTTATTGTATTTTTGTCACACAGCATGTACATTGTAAGTGCCCTGGTCAAAATAACACTGATATAAAATGCTTCTAAAATGGTGCACTGGTTCCAACTTGGACCAGAAGTTCTGCCAAAAACATGACAGTTTACAATCTTTCCTCCTCTGGTTTGGCATGGTGGTGCCTTGAAATCTTGATAAAGCTTTTCAATTATTATGTTGAAAAATAATGTCTTTGAACAAACCTAACATTCTTTGTATCATTTTATCATGTGTATCACAAGAATATGTAACTTCATTGCCAACTTGATAAGTGTAATACCATCTGACAGACATAATCTTTTACAAAATACGTAGAAAATGTTCCAAAGCATTGAATATAAAATCCATATCACTTTCACTTATCTCCATTTAATTAAGTATCACTTGTATAACTGATAACATGGCAGTGTTTTCTGCTGTTACATTGAGCCTCAATTATACTGAATTTCAAGGAAGTGATCTTTGAACGTTTTCTTAATTGAAAACGATCCAATCCTCCAGTCAATATTCTGGAATAGCTCGTGATGAACCTTGTGTCATAGATTTTTACCCTACCAGTGCAGCATAGATGTTAACTGATTCTGGTTGGGAACTGAGAACTTTACTGTGTTAAGTGCAGGAAAACCTTTCTATCAGACATTAGATGGTTTGTAAATACAGCAGAATAACTAGATTAAGCAATGAACAAAATCATGGTTTCAGTATATTAAAAATTAGATGTGATCCATTTTTATTTAACCCCCCCCCAAAAAAAAATAAATAAATAAATAAAATAAATAAATAAATAAGTAAATAAATAAAACTTACCAAGTAATAAAATGCTGTTTTTTTCCCCAAAATTTGAAACAAGGTCTGAAACTGTCTAATGAAAAACTCCTTAATTTCTGTGTTTAAAGACCTCAAACCACAGCTTAGCATGTCATGTCCAAAGGCTGGCTGCTATTGGTAGTAGATGTAGTATGTTGGCATGACAGCATGATGGTATGGCCATGTTGCAACCCGTCACTGCTACTGGTGGTTGGTTGGTTGGCTGTGGGAGGTAACTATTGCATGTGTGTCACAGCTGGAAACATTACTTGGCAAGACTCTGACTCTACATTCTAGGGACGAGGACAATGATCTTAAGTCCAAATTACGGCACAAATTCACTCGAGAAGCAGACGATTTTCTGGGGCAGACAATAATTGAAGTGCGAACTTTGAGTGGTGAAATGGATGTGTGGTATAATTTAGGTAAGTTGGGGTTGTTTGGATTTTCTATGCCTACTCTATAGGTAAGCCGTGGACCTTGGTTTTCATTCCAGGGACGAAGATGACGACCTGCGTGCCAAGCTCAAACACAAAATAAACCGAGAATCTGATGATTTTCTTGGTCAAACCGTCATTGAAGTAAGAACACTTAGTGGAGAAATGGACGTGTGGTACAATCTAGGTCAGTCCCACCACGACAGCATTGTGACTCTGGATGTGGTCGCTACCTCTTCCTACTTTAGGCTTTGATTATTTTTGACACTCATCTCTGAAAGTGTGAATTTTTGTGAAATATTCTACACAGTTTCCAAATTTGTTGTTGTGAATGAATATATAGATATTTTTTGTTGTTGAACTTCTTGAAAATATAAGTTTTTCCTGTAGTCTTGCTTTTTTTCATTTTGATTTTTTATGAAAACGTGACTTACTACTTGATTTTTTTTCCATTAAATTACGTCTTATCATATTGGTTTTAACTTTTCAGTTCATGTATACACGCTTCTTCACCCTGTGTTCTTACTTCAGTTCAAATTTCTATTATTATTTGCCATATAATTTATGTAGAGTGAGCATTTTTGATAGAAAAAAAGTAAGTTGCATTTTAGAAACATTTAGTTAGCCTTGTCTTCATAAGAATACAAGTTTTTTACTGATATTTTAGTGATAATAATACTTTGGAACACAGTTTTAGTGAAACCGCTTTGTCATCTGTAGACCTGTAAACTAATTCAGTAATTCTATTACTACACCAAGTGAGAGTCGTTCACAGGTCAACTAATACCCAAAGACCTGTGGGCATTCAACCTGATGATGTGATTGTGACAATAGGGCACTGTAGCTGTTTGACTAAAATTTTGTTCCAAATTAAGTCACTAAATTACTGTCACTAAAATATCAGTTATTACAGTTCCTTGGAACCATGAACAGCCTTATAAATAAAGAATACAGTTGTTATATATTTGATTGAATGAATGTAATGCTAACTGAAAAAGGAGGTGAATCAAAAAAGATATACTGTTTACATTGTTTTGGGACAATTAGCCATGTACATGTACAGTTGAACATGCAGTCTTTGTCTAAATGTATGGTCTGTTACTATAACCATATACTCTGCAATATAAAAACTTTTATTTAAGTTCTTGTGATTCACTTAATTTTATGTTGTTGGTGAATTATGTGATTTAAAAATTATTAAAAAAATTTATAGCTGTTTTTAAATTGATAGTTAAGTCCTAATTACGAGTTGAAAAAATTTTAAAATTAAACTCAGTCTTTGGTCTGTACAACAGAAATTCAAGTAAAATGTATAGATATGTTGTGGGATTAATTGTTTGAATAAATAAATATAAAATGTTTCAAATTTAGTTTTAAGAGGAACATCAAGCCAGAAAATCAGCCTTCAAAGCAGCATCTAGTGGAGAGAAAAAAAAAAGGCGATTTGTCAACTGCTTCATTCCTAGTTTATTGAATTTATTGAAATTTGCAGCTTAAAATCAATGTATATTTTCTGGTGTTCTGCAGAAAAGCGAACAGACAAATCAGCCGTCTCTGGTGCTATACGCCTTCACATCAGTGTGGAAATCAAGGGGGAAGAGAAAGTGGCGCCTTACCATGTACAATATACCTGTTTGCATGAGGTATTGAACACTGCACTTTATATCTCCATTGGAAAATACTCGGCATAAAAGAATTTTTGCTATAACACGTCCACTGCAATGGCAAAACCCACTACAAGATTAATACTGAATTTTGTTAAATACTAAGAAGTTTTAAAGAAAAAAACATCTGCACACATCTTTTGCAGACAGTTATTAAAAACTGTGTGGTATTGTGATCCATTTAAACCTTCTTCATTTCATTTCCAGAACATCTTCCATTCCTTGTCAGAAACATCAGGTGGCATGATGAAACTTCCTGAGGCAAAGGGGGTATGGATAATAATCTTTGTTGCAGAATATCAGAATTCAGGAATTTCAATGAAATATTTACTCTTTTCTTAAATCTTGATTCTAGAACTATCCATTTGAGAAATAGAGAAAAATTTATGTTGATTTTTGTTTTATTTTTATACAGATGTTTAGAATATGTATTTTTTTCCAGTTGTTTTACTTTGTGATTATGTATAACAGTGTTATTTAATTAGGTGAATTCTTTATTCCTATAGGATGATGCTTGGAAAGTGTACTTTGAAGAACCTGCCCAGGAGATTGTAGATGAGTTTGCCATGAGATATGGAATAGAATCCATTTACCAAGCAATGACGTAAGCACCATCTTGTCTGGCACTTAGTTTGATAGTTAATTTTTTTCTTGGTCCTAGAATTGCATCTGCTGTTAAGGTTGAACACAAAGTTGTAAGACTAGAGACAAAGTATGTTGAAATTCAACCTTTCTCTCCTCTCTCCCTCAATGAAATTTGTATGAAATTGAGTGATGTTTTGTTTTTTATTTAGTCAGACCCATGCGAGATTGGGTGATTGTTATTTATTACATTTATTCATTTATAGCATACTTTATAGCATATTAGCAGCTGTGGAGTCAACAAAGTCTGCAAGTTGCTGAAAACTGCTTCATTACCCCAATCATCTTTTCAGGCATTTTTCATGTCTATCTACCAAGTACATGTGCCCAGGAGTCCCTGCTGTGATGAGTACATTACTAGCAAATATCAATGCCTTCTATGCACACACCACTGCCTCCACAGCCGTGTCTGCCAGTGATAGGTTTGCAGCTTCTAACTTTGGGGTAAGCAAAAAACTTGAAAATTTTAACAACTGGAGTAAGGTTTTTTTTTTTTTTTAAAAACTTCAATCAAATGTCAAATTACTAATTGCATTTTGCCAAAACCATAGAGGCTTATTTCCAAGAAGCAGACTTATTGATTGCAATGGAATTGTTTTTGTATTTTCCAGAAAGAAAAGTTTGTGAAGTTGCTGGATCAGCTCCATAATTCTCTCAGAATAGATCTCTCTGTATACAGGGTATGTGTAACCTTCTTAGCGATAAAAACGATACACTGAAGAAAAAAGAATGAAAAGAAGTTATCTTAATTTAATTTTACAATTCTTATGTAAATTGATTTAAGGCCCTTACAAAATTAGCACTTTAGAAGATATGTGCTTGGACAATGACAAATACAGCATGAATAAAGCTGGTGTTGGCATTAGAGTACAATAAGCAATAACAATACTGAGATGTAGGTTTACCGTTTGTGACTTGTGAGGGTAATTCATTGTTTTTATCATTCCAGAATGCATTTCCAGCTTCTGAACAAGCAAGACTTCAGGATCTCAAATCCACAGTAGATCTTCTTACTAGTATAACATTCTTCAGAATGAAGGTAAGAAGGACAGATTTGTTAGCATTCTAATGGAAGATGACACAGACTGAAATATGCACATGTGTTTATGCAATTGAGAAAAAAATTTCTTCTATATCATAATCTCATGGAAGCTCTCATCAGATACAACTTCATGATACTTACATAAAATGATATACATATTTATGAAATATTTCGTTGTTCTGTTATTAATTAATCTCTTGTCTATTCTCTAGGTGCTAGAGTTGGCTAGTCCTCCCCGTGCCAGTGCTGTAGTCAAAGACTGTGTAAAGGCCTGTATGAAGTCCACCTACCAGTTCCTAGTAGACAATTGCTACGAGTTGTACCAGAGAGAGTTCCAGACAGATCCTGCAGAGGAGAAAAACCTGCAGGAACTGCAAGCAGTATGTAGAGTTTACATTAGAATGGTATAATCAGATGGTCTTTTCAAAGATGGAGAAAACTTTCGTCATTTATAAACTTTAATAATATGAACTTGTTAGTTTTCTGAATTGATTTTGAGAAGACTCAATTAGAATGGTTGTATCTGACTTAATTTACTTAATTGTATTAGTTTGACTGCCATTCCATTGCAGAAAATTTGGTTATCTCTAAAACTTTGTTAAGGAAAAGTTATTTTATAAAGCTTAGAACCAGTTCCTTGCATTGATTGAAAATTTAAAAGCGAGGTTGAAACTTTGATTGTTGCGTCCTCTCATTAATACATTAATATTGTAACACTAAAATGTACCAGACAGATATTTAATAGGGTCAAAATTGGGGCTATGTAATATTATAGATTTAGGTTATGATTTCGAACTGAAAAGTTATTGATTTTTTTAAACTTTGATATGACACTTTAGCTGTGACTTTCTTTTATTTTAGGAGGGTCCCAACACCAGAAGTTTAGACTTCTGGCACAAATTGACAGCTTTAATTGTGTCTGTGATTGAAGAAGATAAGAATAGTTACACGCCAGTATTAAATCAGTAAGAAAGCAATTAATATCTTCATTTTGTGAAATTATCAAATATTGTATAAGATACAATGAAAATATACTTAAAACCAGTTTTTCTTTGAAAGAAACAGGGGAGTCTCTGTAATGAACACTTAGAACACTTTACCTAGATAACTGAAACATGATGTAACAAATAGCAGGATCTATACAGAGAAATTAAAAAAAAACATCTGTGAGGTTTCACATTACCTAAGTGCTGTATCCTTAGGGAACTTACATTTTTCAATTTCATCTTTCAGGTTCCCACAAGAGTTGAATGTTGGTCAGGAGAGTGCATCTTCTCTATGGGGTCTGTATGCCCAGGACATTAGTTATGCACTACAAGGTAAATACAATGAACACTACTTTTACCCGGTTTGTACAGCACTAATTCCTGCAGGAAATGTTAGTGCTTTTTTCCTTTCAGGGTGATATATTTGTATTGAGAAATGAATTTTCTGTGGGATGTTTGAATACTGGTATAACTGTATTTTTATCTATTCAGCTAGTTTCTTTTGTAGTTTGTCTGAAGCACTATATCTGAAAATAACAAGAAATTTGTATCTTAGAGGTAGACTCGTTATGTAAAAACACTAGTTATATGTGGAGATGATCTTTTAAAGACTTATTATTCCAAATGGTATGTTTGTGAAAATGCCTTTCTAGTTTTTAAGCCATTGGGGGGGGGGGGGGGGTGTCACAAAATTGCATATATATTTTTAGCCATTTTCATAAAGAATTCCTACTTTGAATGCAATTTTTTTTCTGGATTTTAAAACATTATTCCCAGCAGTCTAGTCACCTTCTTCAATTTCCAGATTGGGCTGAGGAGATAGAAATAAGAAATGCAGAGACTAATAGACGCAGAAGTAATATTTGATATTTCCATGACCCTTATTCCCACATTGTTTTAACATGTTGTCTTCTTTTGTTCTGTCAGTGGGCCTGTGGGCTGCTGCTGTAATCATGATGCTTTTAAACGAGGCATGCTCAGCATAATGGCTAACCCTGCCCACCTGTGATCAGGCCGTCTTCTTCAGCTATACAAGTTGGAAAAAAAATGGTTTCCCACGAAAGATAGTGAAGAGATGGCTTGATCACCATAATATGGATTATAGATGTGTTTTATCCTTGTACTATTTCATTTTGTTTGTAGATATTGCCTGAACTAGGTCTGCTTATGATATATTGATGTTTGGTAAATGTATAATGCTATTATATATGCGTAGTCGTGGTGGAATGCCCTGGAAAATGTGATACCCTAGATTGTTGCATCCAATAACACCTAACCTCCATGGTGTTCAGGCTACATGTAGTTTATTAAATATAATGTAGTTTAAGGCATGATGGTGTTCAGATTACTGTAGCTGAAATGTGTGGTTTTCCAGTTGCTAGTCGTGAGCGTCTGCTGTCTAATCCTTCCCCACGTATTCCATCACCAGGGCGGCAGCACCAGCTAGGAGGTGACTGGTCATGAGTGCAAATGCTTCATGTTTAATCATAATTTGCATTTAGTGTCAATCTTTATGTTGTATTGCATTTTATACTGGCTTTTGTGTTTCAGTTGTAGGTTGAATTTATTTATGCTGAATGAGTGTTTATCCATTTTGATGTATGAATAGAATATGTTATTTTGTGTGTATTTTGTACATCTTCTATTTTAGAAACTTTATCATTTTTAAATCTTATTTGACTTTGTTCATCTTTGCATTTCAAGTCTTGTAGTTTCTTCATAATGACTGACAAATTCTGATATTTTTCACCATATCAAAAGAAATGCATCCGGAATACACCCTTTTTATCCCAGTATCATTTTAGCTAGGTTTTTTTATTCTATTTTACTACATACATTATTAAAATTTTGAGTAACCATTTCTCTTTTCTTACCAAATAAGAAATTTTCATCTTCAGAGCATGAAAAAGAGAGAATATGCAAAAGTTCGGAATACATGAATCTCCACTTTAAAGTGAAGTGGTTCTACAACAAGTATATAGCAGATGTCCCACCCTACAAGGGAACAGTGCCAGCATACCCACAGTATGTATATATATTTGTTAGTTGATTAAAAAAGGATGTATCAGATAAATGTTCAAAGAAAATTCAAGTGCCTTCTAATTTTTTATTATTGTTTTAGAGGAAAGTTTTTTTTTTATAAAAATAGAGCTATTTAAATCTTCACAAACCTTTATTTTTGTCTGTGTGAAAATTGTTTTTTATGTGATGTAATGGACTTGAGGTCTTACTAGTCAGTAAACTTAATAATGTGTGTTAGCGAATGGGTTTCTTAGTTTAAAATGTTTAAGGCCAGCACCTTGTCACAGGCAACTATCATTGCACTCTCTGTCTCCAGGTGGTTTGAACCCTTTGTGATGCAGTGGTTGAATGAAAATGATGAAGTTTCAATGGAGTATTTGCATGGAGCATATGATAGAGATAAAAAGGATGGTGTAAGTACTATCAAGAGTTACCTATGAGCTAAGTTTCATCAAATATTTCATTTTATTCATAAAGCAGGTATTATTCATGCTTCATTATTAATTCTTACATCACAGCATTTAATAATAAAATATATAATTTGCAGCAAGTATGCTGTGTGTTTGAAAACATGGAAGCTTTATTTTATGTTAAGTAAAAGTTTTTAGTTTGAATTTGTATCATTTTTTTTTCACCATATTGGAAATAAACACTCGGATAGATAATGGACACGGGTCCAATATTCAGATTTTATTGGAATAGAATAATTGCTCACCATAGCATACGTGACATATTCAACTATCTAACCTAATATTCTTCTGTGCAGTTTCAAAGAGCCTCGGAAGATGTGTATTTCTCAGTCTCTGTGACTGATGTTTTCACCCTTACCCTTAACCCTGCTGTGGAGGTTTTAAAAAACATGCTCGCATCACCTGAATCTCAGCGGAAATACACACGTAGATTTGCACGGGTAATCAGCCGAGTCTGGTTGGGTGCAGAAGATCTCAGCTTCCTGTGTGAGATACATCAATGTCTGTGTTCACACCAGAACAAACTAAGATCAGAAATAGACAAAATGACATCACCAGATCACCTTACCCAATCTCATTGATATTTGATTTTGTGTACTTCCTGGAGAAGTATCACCAAAACATGATTTTTGCTCAGTTGATGGATTTCACAATTTTTATTTACTATTCACAGCTGGTTGATGTTGATGTATACATACAGGAAGCTGAAGTCTCTTTGACACACCGTGTATCCTATTTGCAGTGCATATGAAGTTGCTGTGTCTTTTTCTTCTAGTTTGGAACTTTATTTTGCTCTTCAGTTTCAAAAGTCAGCTGAACACTCGCTATTTTCCACTTCGGTCACTGATGTGTTCACGCAGCTGAATCAGTGCTTTGATGTCATCCAGAAGCTAGAGTGTCCAGATCCAGAGTTTGTCAAAAGTTACATGAAACGATTTGCCAAGGTATGAATAGGGAAGAACAATATTTGGTGCCTCATATTATAAACTTAGAAGGACATAATTGCTTCTTTTATCACCACTTTCCACTTACATTTACTTGGTAGTGTTGAAGTGATTTTTTTTATTTATGAATGCAGTGGATTACCATTATAGCTTATAGTGTATTATAGTTTAGTCAATAGTATAATGATAAGACCATATTAGTTAATTCATTTCAAACTGTTTTGTCTTGAAGAACTTCATTAACTTCATCGCCATTGATGAAATCTGTGGAAATTGAAAGTTTAAATATTGGTTTTTAATCTTTTGCTGTTTTCAGACTGTTAATAAAGTCCTTTTAGCCTATGCAGACATAGTACGGAGGGATTTTGAGAAGTATGTTGCAAGACAGAAAATAGTAAGTACAATGAACACGTATGTTAGTTATGATTTTAAAGTAGGCTTCTTTATGTTTATAGAATTCCCATCAGAATCTTTATTTTGCAACCTTTTTAAGTCCTTTTTTTTTTCAACATTAAACTATTCAGCCTCCGTGGTCTTTTCTGTTTTGTTTTGTTTGGTTTTGCCCTAATTATGATAACATGGGTACATTATTTGTTTCAATGCTTGAGAGTTAATTATTTGCACAATTTGTTTCATTTAAACAAATTTTCAGGACCTACATGAGAAGGACCACTTTAGCCTAGAGGCAATTGGCATGGTAAATAAAAGACTTGTTCCCAAATGGCTAAAGTGTAAATTAGATTGTGGCAACTGCATATTATATTTTAACCAACATTCTCCTGACACAAACTTCTGGTTTGAATATCCTGTAGGTGGTGCTGGTGTGGCAAGAAAGGCTGGCTAGATAGTGGTGTGGGGAAATTTAGTCAAAACTTGAAATTATACCTGTTGTAGTAAGAAGTTTTAAATGACTCTCAGGAGTCAAGTAATGTTACATACATAGACTTGTAGCCTAACAAATATACTTTTAAAAGGCATTTTTTGTGCTAGCCTTTTTGTTATATTTTTATAGATCCCAGTTAGTCCATTACCTTACTAATTTAATCATTAGTTACAGTTATCTCCATCCCCTTTATCCACTTCAACCATTTCATAATTTCCTGACTTTGTTGTTTGTATATTTGCCAGCATTGCTGTCTAGCTTATACTGTACAGATATGTGTTTAAGCACACTAAACATATTAAAACATAAATCTTTTGAATTGAATTTTTACCATTATTTGATCACTAGAGAAAACTCTTTCAGCACATTTCTTTTGAAAGAATGTTTATCCACAGTTTTTGGAGATGGCTTTTGTTTGTTTGTTTGATTGCATTTTTGCTAATATTTCCATTAGGTTATATTGCCTGTATTGGTAAACACTGCTTGCAAGGTAATGCTGGCTTTGCCAAGTATTGCATTCATTAGCATGGTTTGAATTGCAAACGCCTGTTTTGATTTATTTTCTTTTAAATTTATGGTTAGGGGGTTTAGGGCTGATGCATGTTTAACTTTTTATCTCTTTTAATTTTCTTAGTTTTTACAGTATGTACAGTGTATGTGAGAAGCACATCTAGATGCCAAAGATTGGTTTCTGAATCCATCTTAATCCTCCACCTCCCCCTCTCAAAAAATAAAACAAAAAAACAAAAAAAAACTTCTTTATAGCATGTGTTATAAGCAGCCTAATGATATTTTTCTGTATTTCCAGGCCTGCATTTTGATGAACAACATCCAGCAGCTCCGTGTCCAGCTGGAGAAGGTGTTTGAGACCATGGGTGGGGAGAAGCTGGATCCCAGTGCAGCAGATATCCTCAAAGAGTTGCAGCAGAAACTGAATGGAGTGTTAGACCAGCTCAGTGCAATATTTGCCAGCAGGTAAGTTCAGGGGGAGGCTGGAAGGACCAGCTCAGTTCAATATTTGGTGAAATGTTAGTGCAGAGGGGTGATATTGGAATAGCTCTTCTTTTACTTGTTGTAAGTCTGATTATAAGCACTTGTGCACATTTACTTCATGTCACTCACTCAAACATGCATTCACCCATGCACTTGTGCCTGATCACACATAAACATACACCGTGATTGATTGGAATATGATATAACTACATGTAAAGATTTTATTATGTCAAACTTTTAATTTCTATAAGGTTCATCATGAAAATCATATATTCTGTATAATACCGTATATGTCATTCTTAATTCTTCCAGCCTTGAACCTCAAATCCATGTCAGTATGCAGCAGCTGGCATCCCTGCTGGCCAAGGTGAAGGGGGCTGGTCAGGTGTCCCTCAGCCAGTCAAGCCAGAGGACAGCTGTCCAACAGGAGTCGGAAATGGTTCTCACGCCTCTCATGGACTTTTTAGATGGGAGGTA